CAACTTTGATGATATCTTACTAGTTTCAATAGTTTTTCCACTTACTGTCTGGTTTTCTATGCAGATTATCATAGTCTGAAATCAATAACAAATTTCTCCTTTCCTTTTGAATCGTTATAACTTGTTTGTTCTTTTTATTGCACAAGTTAGTATAACCCATAGTGGTCCTCTTGTTCTCGATCTTGACTTGAATGGCAATTCTTCTAAAACTTTATTTTTAAGAAATTTAAGAATGATAAAGGAGCAGATCTCCTTCATTAGGTTAAGGAAGTTCTCAGGGCCTGCAGGTGACATGGTAGTTAAGGCAACTGGATCCCACATGACCAACTTCGCAATTGGAGTCCCAGACCTGGTTGAAAATCATGCTGGGTGTGTGTTCATGTGTGCCCAAAATCTGGACAGGAGAATGGAGAAGGGACTATGGTGTGGGTATGCCCCCTGCAGATTGATTTCTCACTTTTTCTCTTTCTCTTGAGAGTGCCAGCGCCCTATGGGCTAAAAAAAAAAAAAAAACCTAGAGAACAGAAAAGAAAAAAGTTTTTGTAGCCTAGTGGTTAAAGTGGCTGGATCCTCAATGGCTGTGCAGTTCCAGTTCCGGACTTGGCAGCTTGAAGAACACTCCAGGAGAGTGTGTTCCCGGTATTCTGACAGGAGGAGAGGTGGAGGAGGAGAAGCCCGGTATTCTGACAGGAGGAGAGGTGGAGGAGGAGAAGGGATTGCGTTCTGACCATGCTCCATGGGGTGAGCACGCACACCCTCTGGCTAATTAAAAAAATGTTTCTTCTATCAATATGGAATGTCATTCTTTGTCCCTTTTATTTTGTCTTCTATTTTATCAGATATTTGCACTTTCATATCAGTTTTTGCTTTGTTGTTAATTACCTGGTTTGTTTCAAAAACTTTCAACTTTTCTGTGTCATCTTTTTAGATTTACCTCTTCTTAACAGAATTTAGCTAGTTGTTCTTACATTTCCTATGGAAAAGTAGAAAAAATTAAAAATTTCTTATTTTTTCCAGTTATATGAGAGTTTCTAGGTTTCAAACTGTGTGCTATTTTACTACTGTATTTATTTTATTATGCTAAGTGACACAGATATTTTCTGCTGACTTAAAAACATTTGCTTTTACGTTATTTTATTATTATTACATTTTTGGACAGAGGGTGCATTTGCTCACCAGGGAGACAGAGAGAGAGAGACAGGGAGTAAGAAAGCATTCCCCATGGGTAATGGTCATGCCACAGTCTCTCCTCCTCCATATCTCACTTCTTTTCGGATTTTGGGCGTGAACATGCACATGTGGCTGTGTGACTCTCAAGCTGATGGTCCAGGACCTGAAGCACTGGGTGGACCGTGTGAGATCCAACTGGTGTTTGTTTTTAGATTTTTGCCAATGGGTGCATGTGTCCACCAGAGAGTGAGGAAAAGTGAAACATCATCCTCGCTCTACCCCCTCACCCCCCCCAGGGTGAGAGGTGTATGCTGCAATCCCTTCTCCTCTGCTCTCTTCTTGGGATTTTGGTCCCTTGGGCCTGGTGTGTTTTTCAAGCCACAGTGTTCAGGACTTGAAGTGCAGAGTAGGCCATGTGGGATCCAGTACCTTCACCACCACACCACTTCGTGACCTGGGATCTGCTATTTTAAATACTAAGTTACAAAGCTAGCGCCAAAATTTGCTTTTTATTTAATTTATTTTTTTGCTATTTTCATGCTTCCTTTGGGATCAATAAAGTTTTCTTTATTTCTCTCATTTTTCTCTATAGTTTCATAACAGTGTATATTGCATTTCTATCATATTAATGATTTTCTTTTTAATTTTTGACCTAATATGCAAATATATATTTTAAATAGTATAAAGTTCATCAGTATTTCTCTTTGTTTAACTATCTTTATTCAAAACCACTTAGCCTTTCCTTGTTTTTTTCTAATGTTTTAAGGCTATTGATTTGAAAATAAACTAGTTTTTCCTTTCCTTTATTTTTTTAGAGAGATTTTTGCTGTAGGGCACTGTAGGGCAGGGGTGCCCCCCAGAGAGAGACAGAGAGACAGAAAGCAAGAAATCATCCCCCAGGGGTGAGGCAAGCCATAATCCCTTCTCCATTCTGCTCCTGGGATTCCGGGCATGCACCCTCATGCTCCTGGTGTGAGTTTTAAGCCACCAGGTCTGGGACTTAATCCTTGGTCGAGTAAGTGGGAGTTCAGTGACATAATCATTATGTCATCTGCTGGTCCCTCCTTTTCCTTGTCTTCCTCCTTTCTTCCTGTTAGTTTACAGTGATGAGATCTGGCACATGTGCATGTGTGTTTTAAAGTTATCTAATTTCAGCTTTAAATGTGGACCCATGTCTCTTTTCTTCTGGAATATTACCAGTCCTTATCTCTTTAAATTTCCCCTGAGGGTGTGGCTGCTGTCTTAGAACATGCTGAAATCCTAGTTCAGTTCCTGAGGCAAAGCTGCTGCCTGTTCTTCTTCCCCTTACCTTTTTCTAAAGAGCTTAATT